GGTGGGAAAGGGAAACAGGAGGAACCCCCTGCAGTCCTATCCCAGTCCCCCCCTTTGGCAGCACCTGGGGCTCATGCCCTGCTCACCCACCTCAAGTCACTTTTCAGAGCAGAATCATACTTCAGAAGAAAAAATTAATTTAATTGAGCTAAATGAAACTTTGTGAGTTGACAGGAGATAATTACATTTCTGCTAGCAGAACAACCCCAGTCAAAGGTGGACAGCAAGTGTGAAACCAATATCAACAGCACCAGTATTTGCCAGCTAAGCTAAGGGAGTTATGCTAATAGTTGGATGTAACAATAAGCTATCAAGGTTCTTTGGGAAAATCTGATATCTTTTTATTAGACCAACTCAAATAGTTGGAAAAAAATCTTCTTTGCAAGCTTTTGGGTATAAACACCTTTTGTCAGGCTGAGGAAACATCTGCAGTTGATGTGTGCTCTTCCTGGATGGAATGAATAGTAAAGAAGCCAGAGCCTGGTATCATGCAAGAAAGCCAGTCAGTGAAGATGTAAATTAAGCAGTCAGTGGGTGAGAGACAGGTTGGAAGGGAGGTGGGGAAGGGGAATGAATGTAGCTGGTACATAATGGAGAGGTACCTGGGGAGTTAGATGTTAGGTAGGTTATAATGCGTCATAAATGCAATGTCTATATTTAGTCCATGACTTTTGATATCCAGGAAGTTGATGAAGTGACGTTCATAGGCTTGTCTGTGAAAGGTGTTTTGTAAATTCCCTTTGAGGATTAGAACTGAGAGAACGAGTGGTTTTCTTGTGAGAAATCTGCCCCCACAGGTAATTGGGTATTCTTGTCTTTGATAGATTTCTGGTGTGCATTTATTCCGTTGCACAGTTGTTGTTTGGTCTCACCTACGTATTTTCCATCAGGGCATATTTATACCCAAAAGCTTGCAAAGAAGAATTTTTCTATTTGAGTTGGTCTAATAAAAGATGTCAGATTTCCCAAAGAACCTTGTTTGCTATGTCCTTAGACCAACACAGCTACAACCTGAACCCACGATAAGCTATTACATTCTAGCTAGACTAATTACTAGACAGAGTGACCCCATGTATTTTACAAGCCCATCATTTTTTACCTCACTCCACTAGACCTTTCTGGTCCAGCAAGCAAGGCACAAATGATATAGATCAGCAGAACAAAATCTTACCATATACTCTGAGCAGGGAACCCTTCCCAGTATCATCAGCCCTTTCAGGGGCTTGACTAACCAGTATGTGGGAGGTAGAATTAGAGGGGACAAGTACAGGAGTAACAGTGTACTAGTCCTCTTTACTTAACAGTCCTCACCCTTAATCTTTCTTTGCAGATTCCTGGGCCACTGATCAGCAAGGTATGCTCTATGGCCATATCATCTGTTGATGGTCCCAAGAGCCCTCTATAGCAGTGTTTCTCAACCTTTCAAGTAGCAAGTACCCCCTAACTTCTGAAAATTATAATAAGTACCCCAACACTCAATTTTCCAGGGGATTTTATATTTACAGACTAATGTGTGCCATATGTTGGAAGAAGGGCTGTGTATATAAGGCCAATATGACAGATATCTGATCTGATGTGGATAGGGTTGCCACCTTTTACACCAGGGGTGAACAACTCAAGTATGTACCTGGGCTAAAAGTGATGTTGGCCAAAGCTAGGAGGGCTGAACCCAGTGCCACACAAAGCACAGCACATCAAATTATTACTGGGGAATTTAAACCACTGTGCAATGTGTGGCGCACCAATATTTTTGCCATACTTTTGAGAGGAAAAGGGGGTGAGAGAGAGAGAGTGTTGGGGTACCAGTGTACCCCCCTGCCAGTCTTGCATACCCCCAGGGGTAAGCATACCACAGGTTGAGCAACTATGCTTTATAGAAATTATGTTTTTCTAGGTTTAATCCAGACTACAGCCATCACTGTATACACATGAATTTCTGTAGTCCAAATTAAAATTGGCTGTAGTCTGAATTAACTAATCCTCATTGAATGAGGATTAAAGTTAATGCAGACTTCAGCAGTCCAAATTAGGCAATTTAAACTGTATTAATTAACATGTATATACGGCATTACTTTTAGGAAAAAAAGTCGTTAGGAACTCAGATAAGCATTTCTTAGGAATGCAGATAAGCATTGCAAATATCAGTCCCCTCAAGGGAAACTCAGTTGGGTTTTTGCAACACAACAGAGGCTATCAGGCACAAAGTATCACCTTTACAAAGTCAAATGTGCCAACAATACCTCGCCATGACTGCGTATCGGTATCCTGACTAAGACCCCAGCCTTGCCCAAGCATGTGGGCTACTAGTCTGTGAAGAAGGGGGCAAACCCCCTTAATTGTCTCTTAACCCTTAATTCTAATTGAAATTTGATTGGAATTGTATGATGCAAATCAGTTAACATGGTTTAGAAAATGGTGACCATGTCTACAAACAGCCAGGAAGTTCTTACAGTGACAAACAGTATTACATTCACCAGGTAATCTTCAAGAATAGTATTTATTATCAACATATGAAAAGGCCCCTTATTTGAAACAGTGACATCAAATAATTTAACACAGACCATTAGATAAATGTATACCAAACACAAGAGTGTTTTAGCAAATTGCAATAAATTTGCCACTTAATCTGAGGAATAAAAATTCCAACTATTTAAATCAAATATCTTAAGAGTTATTTTTATCTATAGGGTTGCCACTGTCTCCTGACATTGAATTACAAAAAATGCTTCAGAGTTTGGAAGATCGAATTCTACAACTTGAAAGAGGTAATCTGTCTGCTTTTTCTTTCTCCCTGATTTAAATTTGGTTAATTACAAAATACTATATGAAAGAAAAAAGATCCTTGAAAACAGGCAGCGTTTTCTGACCATTTCTGCATTAGATTTGGCATTCTATTCCTGGGGAGGAGGGGGACAAAATACAAAAACCCCACATGGCTCTGAAGATGGGAGAGTAATAAATTTAATTCTTTCAGTGCAGTGATAATTATATTACCAAGCATATTCTACCAGCCACGGATGACTTACTAAGATGACAACAACTTTCTACACAGAAGTGTTTCAGGAGCAGCTTTCTTTATCAGAAAAGATGGGGGAGAGTGGATTGGGGCCCCCCTTGTGGTGGGAGAGCTCCAATCCCTCTCCCCACCCCCAGCGCAAGCTGAACAAACCCCAAACTGAGCTCCCTTCCCTTCTCTCCCTCCTATCCTGAAGAAAGCACCAGGGGCAGAGCTGGGCTTCATGAGCCCAGACCTGATCCTGGGCAGGCACTGGCAGGAGTTAATGAAGGCAATCTGCTTTGCACCATCTTCCTCTGAACCCTCAGGGTTCAATTTTTGCATGATCAGGCACTTTTAAAGCACCCTGCAGTCAGGTACTTCTGCCAGGGCACAGTTGTAGAGTGCTTTCAGGGGTCTGATCGTTGCGACAACATGTCACTTCTGTCAGTGCCCTGCAAATCCATTCGGAGAATCTGAAAAATAGGCTGTCACCTGCAAAGCTTATGCCTCTCTGAACAAATTAGTCTCAAAGATGCTACTCTTCCCTGCCTTTTACCTAATTTCAGACAAGCAAGACTAACTACACCTCTATAATCAATTGTCCTACCCTTCCATTGTCTTTATGCCTTAACAATTCCTCTCCTACCTTCTCCTTTCTTCTCAAGTTATATATTATCTTTATTCCACAGAGCCACAACCCTACATATTTTAACAGATCATTAAGATTCGCCCACCAGAGAATGGGATTTCAGTCAGGTGGGGGTGGGGGAGGGCACAAGAATAACATGGTGGCAAACCAAACAATGGGTAGGGCCTGTCCATCTTTGCTATAAGGTGTTCAATTATATTTGTATGAAGAAAGAGAGACAATTGGTGCCCCAGTGTAGCAGCAAAGGGAACAGTGTAAAATGATCCAGAAACAATTAACAGGATTTTCCCTTTACTTTACAGTCCTTATTTTGACTAAACAGATAACAGAATATGGAGGAAAACTTTTTGCTACCAATGGGAAATCAGAAGATTTTGAAACCATATTTCACACGTGTAAAAATGCTGGTGGCTTCATTGCATCTCCCAGGAATGAGGGGGAAAACAATGCCATTTTGGAGTTTGTGAAACAGTTTAACACATATGCATATATGGGAATAAAGGAGGGTCTACTTCCAGGTGAATTCCTTTACCTTGATAACACAAAGGTGTCTTATACAAATTGGTACTCAGGTGAGCCCTCTGGTAGAGGGACAACAACTTGTGTGGAGATGTACACTGATGGCACCTGGAATGACAAAAAATGCAATTACGATCGCCTGACTGTCTGTGAATTTTAATCCCTTCTCCTCCTTTTACTTTTGCATGGCTGATAACTCTTACAGTCCTGGAATTCTGTCTGTCACCCACAAACAGGAACCTGTTCTTTCTGCACTGTAGTTAGTGAATTTTGTGATGATTCTGCAGGAGAATATGAACATTAATAAAAGCATGAAGTATTAACTTCTTGATGTTAGCTTTTTCATGAAAAACTCTAAGAGGAGGATATTTGCACCCCCAACAATAAGTAATCCAGCACTTTCCTGGCCAATCTCTACTTCTTGCTCCCCCACCTGCTGAGAGACATCATAAAGCAGTGTCTCCTGCTGATCTGCTTTTTAACCTTTGCCAGCTTCAACTTGAAGGCAAGTAGAACTGAAGTTAAAATCAGTAGCTCTTCAGTCCTCCTCAGCCTGGAGGTGGGACAGCTCCAAGGGTTCTTCACACACAGCAGTCTCCATACCCCACACACACAGGCCTTTGGCAGCAGCAGAGGTATTTAATATGGCTGTGTGAAGCTTCAGTTCCTGATTCAATTTGGCGGAGATTCAGCCTTGAATCAGATGACCCTTGAAACAGATGACCCTTTAATCTTTCTAAATCAAATCAGAACCCTCCAAATTGATTTGGAAAGATTCAGAAAGATTTGGCGATTAAGACATAGACACAGCTTTAACTGTTTTTTCCACATACCTCTAGGTAGCAGGCAGCTTGTGAATGCTGCAATGCTGGAGAGCATGAAGTATCCCACAGAAGTGTGGGGGGCTCCCCAGCATGCTCAACAGCAGACCCAGACGTGAACCAGAAGCACTTCTGGTCCACATCCAGGTCTGCCGAACAGCATGCGGGGGGGCCACACGTGCCTCCCTGGCTCAGCAACTGGTCCCTCTGCAGCTGATTGCCAAGCCAGAGGGGCACAGGGGGCCCCCCTGCGTGCTCCCCGGTGGACCCAGAATTGGACCAGAATTATTTCTAGTCCACTTCCAGGTTCACCGCCGAGCACGTGGGGACCCCACCACACTCCTGTGGAATGGTCCATCCATCCCAGCATTGCAGCATTCATGAGCCACGCTGGTATCTTGAGGTATGTAGAAAGAACATTTAAAGCTGTGTCTATGTCAAAATCTGAATCAGCATTGAATCTTCACATTCAGATTCAGTCAAATCAAATCGGAGACAGTGATCCAAATCAATTAATCGAATCACTGTCCCCAATTCAGGCCAAATCTGAATCCAAATTGAATAGGGCCTGTTTCTCACACCCCTAAGTATTGAACCACTCCCCCATCCTAGATGAGTCTGGGGTGTGGGATGGAAAGAGCTCAAAGGGATTCGGGAGCTGCTGAGCCTGAAGTGTCTGGGTGGATTGCAAAACTTGGCACAGATGAGGAGGTTTTCAGAGATTTTATAGATTTCATAGACATTAGGGCTGGAAGGGACCTCGGAAGATCATCGAGTCCAGCCCCCCGCCCGAAGGGCAGGAAGTCAGCTGGGGTCATAGGATCCCAGCAAGATAAGCATCCAATTTACTCTTGAAGGTGCTCAATGTAGGTGCTTGAACCACCTCTGATGGCAGGCTATTCCAGACCTTGGGGGCTCGGACAGTAAAGAAATTCTTCGTATGTCCAACCTGAAATGGTCTTGCAGTAGTTCATAGCCGTTCAACCTCGTCATCCATTGGGGCACTCTGGTGAACAAACATTCCCCCAGACACTGGTGGTCACCCCTGATAAATGTATAGGTGGCCATCAGATCACCCTTGAGCCTGTGCTTTTCCAGGCTAAAGAGCCCCATAGCTCTCAGCCTGTCATCGTAAGGCCTGTTTTCCTGACATCTGATCATGTGCGTGGCTCTTCTCTGGACTCTCTCAAGCTTCTCCACATCCTTTTTCGATTGTGGGGCCCAAAACTGGACGCAGTACTCCAGCTGCGGCCTCACCAAGGCCAAGTACAAGGGGAAAATGACGTCCCGGGATTTGCTTGAGAAGCATCTGTGGATGTGTAGCTTCAACAGCACTGAATGGACTGTGGGATTGCCCCCAGAGTGTTTTTAAGGATGGGTGTACCTTTTCAGGCTTTTCAGTTCTGATCATAATACAAGGAGTGGCAGCCTTTAAGGAAATTCAATCTCAGGTCATGATGCTTGAGGACAGCCCTGGATAGCAGCAGAAAGGTTGCTGCACACTGTTAAAACCCAAGTTTCCCCACTCACTCTGCTCAGCTCTGCTCCTTAAATTGAGTTTTGTCAATTCCCAATAAATTTCCCAAAAATATTAAAGCAACATGAGAAAGAATAGAAATGCCTGAAACACAAAGCTGGTCAGGTGATCCATTCCTAATTTAAACCAACTCCCATAGTTGCATGTAGGCAGCAGTGAAAGGGAAAAGGAATACACCATGATGGTGAGGGAGCAATCTTAGAATGAAGTTACACATCACATTTAGACCATGCTAGACACATAATACATGAGCATCCATGCATGAAAGTTTGTTAACACATGCAAAGTACCCTTTAAGCATCTCAGAGTTACACTACTTTGGGCAAGGATTATCTTTGAGCCATACTACCCAGATGGTGTTACGGTAACATCAGTCTGCTGCACTAAAGTAAAACAACCCATTTGCAGTCCTCTCAGGATGTTTTATTCTCAGGTCCACTCCCTGGCCCCCAATCCCATCCCCCACCCCCACACACAACTCCTGCTCTGTGGGCATACTTTCCACCCTCCTGAACTCTACTACCCACGGTGCAACCCTGGGCTACATGGCACCTCATACCTCACAGTTGGCCACTTGCTCATGTGAACAGCCATCCATCAGCTACCTACATTAACTGGAGCCAGAGAATGAACCAGAGATTTTTCCCCCTTGTACCCTATCAGGTAGCCCTTAAACTGGACTTGTGATAAGGTGCTGGACCTCATCGTAAGCTAGAGTGAAGAAAGAACCATTGCCACCATCAGCAAGAGCACAACAGATCCAGGCAGTGTACAAGTGGATCATAGCTCAAATGGTGGCTCAGGTGTACCAGTAAGACTGGCTGTAGATCTGTTCCGAAATCAAGTCCCTGAAGTCCCAGTACATTCAGGGCAGGGATAGCAACAAGGTCTCAGGTCCCCTTCTTCACAGGGCTGATGAAGATCCTTGAGATAGACCATGCCATTATTCCCTGCCACATCATGTACTGCACACTCATGGGCCAAGCTCTGTGCAACAACAACAATAAAGGCAGCAACAGTGACAGAGTTACCCCCCTGAAGCCATCTGCTACTGAAATAGTTATGGAGGAGCATGAAGGTAGATGCACTTTGGACTTATTCCCAAGCCAGTCTATAACCTTGACCCGAACGATTGAACCCTGGCCAAAAGTCAGAACCAGGATGATGCAGGAGATGAGGGGAAGTTTGGATATTACCTTCATTGAGCACATAGACCATCAACTGTTGGTGAGTCTCAGTGATTCCAGGGGAAAAGAGGAGGAGGAAAGAGTAACTAGTGAGCTGTTCAGGGGCTCAGGGACATAAGGTTGTCTCATGGCTTGGGAATGACTTGGAACTCTGGGGATCCCTAAGGACATGGGGAAAAGTGGCTTATGGCCTGGGGTGCTCTGAGATAGGTGTGGTGAAGTGAAATTCCTAGAGCTGGTAGAGTTGTCCCTTCAGGTTCTCAACCGGCCCAGAGTTGTGAACCTTGTATTTATGGAGCAAGATTTAGATTTATAGACCCATGAGCCAAATGCAAAATGAAGGCCTTGTAATCCCTTTCCATGGCAGCAGAAACCCCATATTGAGTCTTACTAGCCCCCTTTTTTCCCCACGGGGCTCACCTCTGGCCTCTGCTTGAGCCCCTGTGCAGAAGGGTGGTGGTCCTCCTACTGCTTGCATCTGCCCTCTCATCTGGCATTTTGGTTTGCTCTTTTTGCCATTCCCCCTTTTCTGCATCATGTTCCTTATTTCTATTTTATTTTCTCCCCTTTTGTTCACCTTTCATTCTCATCCCCTTGCCAGTGTGATGAATCCCAACACAGAAGTAGGCACCTCAATACACCCTCAGGTTTTATGAATCTAGAGAGGAGGTATATTCTCCAGTACTCAATCCCTACTTGCTCATTGAAAAATCAGCAAGTTGCAGAAAGAGAGAGTACTTCAGCATGTTAGATTTGCCACAGGTAATACCAGTTTCAGGACTGGGCAGTTCTGCCAACCTAGGGATTTTGTCCCTAGATTAATCCAGGAGTTGGTAACACTGGTGTCCTTTAGTATGGGGGGTGGGTGTCCCTGTGTGGATAAGTTGTGATCAGAGTTGGGTATGTCATTGTGAGAACACCTTCCAAAGCAGTTCTTTTCTCATGGTCGTACAAGAGTGACTGATGGAGCATTATCTACTGAAATATATAAGATTCTGCCTGACACTCATTTGCAAGTTAAAAGAGAGTATCCATTCCAGAAAGTCAGCAGCTCTATCACCCACTTTCCCTATAACTAACACTGTGTAGTATCTGCTCCACATGTTTTCAAAGAGTATATAGTCTGCACCGAGTAACATCAATACCTCTTTTGTCAAATATTTCTAGCTGTCTCTTAGATAAATTAGGAAATTTCACCACATCATTCAGATCCAAATTCCCTTCTCATTTTTGCATCTTTAATCACTGGAGGAAAGGCAGGTAAACAATAAACTCTACTAGTATATCTAGGGCAGAGTGAATGGCCACCTGTTGAGGGAACCAACCATGAGGGAGCAGCAGGATCCCCACTGCCACGAGTCTTTGCCATGGCTGGGGAAGGTCTATGCTGCCTGTGCCCAGCCACAGGAGCCAGGCAGTGAAGCATAGTGTGCAGCAGTGTATCTGCAAGGTTGTAAGCAGAATAGTGCTCCCTTCCCTCAACTCCTGGGAATTTTTGCCAGAATGGGCATAGCACTGTCCCCATTATGTATACATGGGTGTTTGGGAGGGGGTGGTAGAACTCTACCACAAGAGAGTTGAGCTGACACTACTGGTGATGAGCATCAGCAGTAGCTACAGCAGCCAGGGCAGGTAAGACTTCCCTTCCCCACCCCCATGCCGCTACATCCCCCCACCCTGTGTACCATGGTTGGCATTACCTGCACTGCCCTCTCACCTCCCCCCCCCACCACCCCTGCCCACCCCAGACATTCAGTAGGCTCCCTACTCCACTGAACTTGACTAAACAAATGGTTTCAGGACTGGGTTCCCTGAGACTTCCTGAGTTTAAATACTGCACTCCACCGTAATTTCTGCTGAAACAATTATTTATTCACAGAGTAGAGGAATAATACTCACTCTAGGAATGCCAGAATACATTTTCATATAAAAAAGCAATTTTTTAAGACTCATTTCCTTCTATTGAGAAATCCAGTACTTTACACTTGGTTACCTAAGCCATCAACAGGGGTATAGAGGCAAAATAGTCTCAGAGGAAATAACCTGGACAAAAAGAGAATCCTTTTACTATCCTGCAGTATCTGCAAATGTATCAGTACTCTCTGAATGGAAGTAGGTATGAGTGAAATAACAGTAGAAAAGCCATGAAATTTTGGGGAGAGTTGCATCTTAAGCATTGAAGGAAAGACAACTAAACAGTAAAGCTTGTAAATAAGAGAGAAATTCTGGAAGTGCAGCATCAGAACTTTAAAAAAAAAAAAATGAATCACTTTTTATTTTGGAGTGCTCATTACTGTTCTGTTAGTTGTGAACTAAGTGGATATTACTGGAAAAAAAGGATGACATTTGCCTTTAGGGCTCACTTTTCTTACTCTTCACAAATTTCTTGCTGCTTTCTTGTTTAAAGATGAAAGAAAGAATGCACGGGAGACGGAAGCAATTGAAACTTAAAGAGCAATCTTTTTGTAGGATGATAGAGATCCGTCAAATGCAAAATATTGGAGGACTGGCAGTAAGGATTATTTGTTCCTATTCCTGTTTCTGGGATGGGAGGTCATGTAAGTTACTGTTTAGAACCAGAGGTGCGCTTGGATCCCATTGCTGACTCAGTAGGAGAGGATGGGCATTACCAATACTGGTGGTCTCTGTTCCAAGTGATGTTTAAGGTACTCTTACCTATTAGTTACCACAGAAGACTGGCATTCAGGTCTCTCATTTCTGTTTTATTCCTTTTTATTATGAGCTGAATTCATAATTGGTGGGGGGGTGCAGAGAAGAGATGGGAAAAGCAAAAACTCATACAATTGATCAAACAGTTCTGGTAAATAGTTTAGAGCCAACATGTAAAAGTGTTCATAGCATAAAAAGGACTTTTCTGGGAACATGCAGGATGAGGCAAGTGCACAAAGAACTAGTACTAAAAGCTCAGTGATATACCACATAGTTAATGACATAATAGTAATTGCACTGTCTGATGGGACATGGAAGTCTGTTGCCTGAAGACTAGGGTAACTGTGGTGCAGCTTCAAAGCAAAAAGAACTAGTTGTGTTCCCACTGATGTTAATGACCAAGTTCCCCTGATTTCTGCCCTGCCTGTCCCCCACTTACTTGAGTTTTCCACTAAATAAATCTATACAGATTGACTGATGTTGCTCTAACTTTAACTTTTTCTCTCTTTAACTGAGGACTGTTAATGGAGGCCTATTCACTTCGAGGATTTGTTCCAAAGGCTGAGAAGTTTGTCAACTGGTGGTCATGGCAGTTTGTTGTTCATTTCAGTCATACACAACTTACATTTAATTTTCCTTCTTGATTGTTTCAAATTAGTCTCAGATTACAATCAAGCTGATTTAGCACGGTATCATTTTCAGTACATCAGGCAGAGATTTAGCCAGGTGATGAATTCCCTTATTATCAATCTCAAAAAGTGCCCCTAGGCATCTTAACCCATGGTATACAAGAGCACCTCGTATCTCAGGCATAATGATGATATGGCAGATACCATATTTACATGCAACTCTCAATTGCTCCACATTTATTAACTGTGAAGCAATCAGGCAACTACTTGAAAGCAATGTATTAAATTTGTGGTATCTTAATTTATTTATTTCATTTGGAATTTAAGGGAGAGCCATGTAAAGGGAAAGGCTTCAACTGGCCATTAGGCCTGTGTGAAGTGACTTTTATTCACTTTGGATTTGGCCAATTCAGGGGACAGTAATTCACTTCCCTGATTCGAATCACTGTCTCGATTCGATTAGGCCGAATCTGATTTGGAGATTCGGCTGTTGCCAAATCTCCAAATCAGCCAGGTCAGGCCCAATTCCCTGCCCCTCTCCCAGCCTGGGAATGGCTGCCCGGCTCTTTAGAAAAAAAAGCCCCAACTCACTGGGTGCTTCTGGGGAGACAATCCCCGCTGGCCCCCACTGCCCAACACTGTGTGTGGGGCTCTGCATGAGCCCCCTGACCTCCCCCCTCACTCCTCCTGTTCCCCCATGGGTGCCCCGCCCAAGTCAGCTCCGGCCCTTTAAGAAAAAAAACCCACAAAAAACCCCCAGACTCACCACTCCTGAATTCTGATTGATTTTTTTGCTAAACTGTGGTCTTAGCAATGAATGTCCTTTAATCTTTCATAACCTTGGTGCTGGGTATGTCACTGACGATGGCATCAAATTCAGACTTCTTAAACAGTCCTGAAGAAAAAAATGCAGACATGCCCATTCACTTAATGTTCTATTCCTGGCAGAGATGGAGGAAGTGGCCCCACCAAAGAAAGGGAGACAAAGGTACAACGTTATAATCTTTTACCAACACTTAAATTTATTACATTACACTCAGTCCATTTAGGGTTATCTTCTTATACCTCCTGCCTTCCCTCTGTGTTTTTTCTGTCTTATTGAAACTGAAATGTACTACTCTTTTTCTAGTTCATTAGCTTCAGTTAACAAGTGGTATGCACTTGTATACCATGCCCATTGCATCCTGCAAAAAACCTTCTGAATCTTACTTTATCCTCCTGTTGGAGAAAACTGAAAGCTGCTCAACTGAGGCACTGTCTTACTAAACTTCAAAAGACTCTTTACAAATGAAGGGACATCCTTTCATGGAGCAACTTGCATGATCAGGGTCTAAAACAGCACTGTACATATATTGTCATGGCGGGGTCCTGTAGGAGGGCCGTGATCTCCTTAAGGCCCCCTCTTCCGTGCCAAGTCAGCCCAAGGGCACCCTCTAATTCTCGCCCGCCAGTCTTTGATGTTTAAGTAAAGTTGAGAGGCTGCCTCACGTCTCCTTGGGCACGATTAGTTGGGACCTCTGTCCCCATGTTTTCCTGGGCCCACCGGGGGTCTCCCTGTATGATGGGTGCTTCCCGGGCACCCTAGCCTTATGGGCTATGCGTGGCTCCAACCACCCCTGATACCACGCCCCAAGCCTCGCAGATGGGATAGACGTTGGTCTGTCTCTATAGATACACCACCCATCTCTCGGGCCTCCTTTGTACACTCGCCCACTCTCTGGGGCCTCCTGTGCCCACTATGGACCTCCTCAATCAAACCGCCCAGTTCTAGGGCTCTATGCAGCCGCACCGGGCCTTCTCAGTCTATCTGCCCTCTCTCGGGGCGCTCCTCTAATGCTGCCCCTCTCCCGGGGCTCTCGGCACCTACTCTGGGCCGTCTCTGTAACATTGCCCCACTCCTGGGGCTCTCTGTACCAGCGCCTCTTTCCTGGGGACCTCTCTATAACGCCGCCCCTCTCCTGGGGACTTCTGTGCCCCCTCTGGGACTCCTCGGCTATGCCACCTGACTCCCGGGCCCACCGCACTGCTACCCCCTTTCTCCAGGGCTCACCGCACCACTACCCCCTCTCATCGGGGTTTACCACAGTACTTTGCCCTTTCCGGGGTTTACCACAGTATTCTGCCTTCCACAGGGGCTCGCCATGTCCTCCCTGGGGCTTCTCAGTATAACAGCCCCCTCTCGGGGCTGTCCAGTAAGCTGTCCCCTTCTCTGGGGCTTTCTGTGCCCGTACTAGGGCTTCTCAAAAGTGCCCCCCCTCTAGGGCTTGCTGTGCCCACGCTGGGCTTCCTAGTAATACTGCCCCCTCTCTGGGGCTTGCTGTGCCCACGCTGGGCTTCCTCAGATGCCCCTCTCTGGGGCTGGGATCTACGCACCCCTTAAGCTACACCCTAACTGGCGCTGGGGCCCCCACGCCGCTGTGGGTCCCTATGAGGATACTGCGCCCTCACTGGTGCCGGGGTTCTCACACCACTGGGGGTTCCCCCTGAGGCCTCCTCCAACCCCTTATAGATTCACCCTAGCCACCGGTGTAATACAGCGACAAAATACAACCACAAGCCACTAGGCTACAACATAACTATAAGCCGCCTGGCTATAACCACATTGCTCCAACATCTTAGAGCTGCCTTCTGTTATCTGGCTTACACAGTACCTGCGGTTCTCTGCTTCTCACATCCCTACTCTAAGAGCTCCTGCCTCTCTGGCTGCTCTCCCTGGCCTCAGCCCTGGGCTTTATAAGAGCCAGGCTCTGCCTCCTACAGGCAGCTGACCGCTGCCAGGTGTGGGTCATTTGCTCCCTCCAGTTGCCCTGGCAACCCGCAGGTGAGCTCGTTATGTCCTGCCAGGGCTCTCTCCCTGGCAGTTTCCACTACCTAGGAGCAGAGCACTGAGGTGCTTTGCGACATATATATTAGTCATGTAGTTATATTTGGTTGGAATAAAAACATTGACTAACAATTTTCAAATCTTTACACAAAGTAGAGATGAAACAGGCATTAGTCTAATTTATAGATCCCACTGCACCATCGTTTCATAAAGTTTATTATTCAGTGATTTGTTCAGTTTACCTTTCAAGATCAGAAGTAGAGCTGGTCTGACTTTTTTCCATTTTTTGGTGGCAAATGCAGTTTCTATATTCTGCAAACACAGGAAAATTTAATTTTAGCTGATGAGTTTTTTGGCGGGTTCTCTTTTCCTTTTTAATATTCTATTGGGGAAATAAATAGGGTTGGCAAGCCAGTCAATTGGCTGATAAAATATTGTCAGTTGACTGCATATGTTTAACCAAAGATTATAGCAATTTTACCAAAAACCCTATATTTTTGTTGTAGTTTTCTTGACAGAAATATGATTTTTTTTTTTTTTTTACACATTTCTTAATGGAAAATATGTGTTTTTTCTGTGTATTATTTGGACCTATTGGCAATTTTTTTACAGTTTTTGACTGATATTTGACCGGTCAAATACCCAACCTTTGAAATAGGAACTAATGGTTCCATTTTTTTATGACCAAACTGAAATATTTTTAAATGTAGACTTGATTTGTCTTGACATGTATTTTATGTGATCATTTGCTTTTGTCCTAATCTATAATACATAGGTATGCATTTATAATCCACATAATCATAATAATTGACATTTATCTCTATTTCTTAGTTGTAAAGCTATGAATATACTTCTTTAGAGAGAGAATTGTATCGATGCTCAGCATTCATGTGCTCCATACCAAGGCATGGCTGGTACAAAATGTCTCTGGCCATGTTTATACTGCTTCCCTGGCACTAGAAAATAAGCCCCATCCCTTCACTCTCACATGTATAAGCCAGGGTTGTTACTGTATTTCTGGTGATACAGAAATGGAGCCTTGGGGTCTTTATAGCCTGTCTGACCAACCCAGCCCAGACTTCAAATACTGAATATTTCCCACATTAACTTATTTGTTCAAGTCAAAAGAAAGGAAAATAACACATAATAGTGTAAATTTCAGTAAGAAGTAAATGTAGGAAACCATGGTAAATCATCAAGCAGAAAAGAAGCTAAATTTATCACACAAAATATTTGCTGTAAAATATTTCCTTAGCGTAAGAAATTCTAGCTTTATCCCAACTATGCAGTTGGAGTTGGCCCAATAAAAGATATAACCCACATGAATCCTTGCCTAACATAGGGATCTAATACAGCCCTGAAACACCCGCCTCAAATGAAAGTGAATGGTATTTTAGTGTGAGTTGTAGATTTGTATGGGTGAAAGTTAAGCTATGCCCACAAAATAAATCACCATCTCTTGTTTTAATATGAACTGGTTAATTTCCTTTATTTCTCACCCACCTTGACTTTGATGGAATAAGATACAGAAATAAACACAGTCCTGAGAGATGAGGAAGATATCATGTCTGCAGTTCATCAAAAATAACTCTTCTGCACAACTATTAGGTCTCTCTTAGATAAATAACATCTTATATATATTTAGTTCCCTCTCTCTTTGAGAACTCTCAATTTCTTGGTTGCTTGCCCTGTTCTCCTCCTCACGGGTCCCAAGCAAATAGCAATCCTAGGTCACCTTGTATTTACTACTGATATCAAAATTGTGGGGTTCTCTTCCCTTTGTTAGTTTTCATCCACTCTCATTCCTTTCTCTTAATTTTAAGTCTCTGGAATGTTACTCGATGTCTTCAGGTATCAGACTCACCAACCCAAAGTCCACCTTTGTTAACTCACTTCATCCCAGGTAAGTTTCTCTCCTGGACCCTTCTTATATTCCCTTTTCTCTTTCATGTAGTTTCTCCCTGTTTCTTCTGGGTTGCTTTCTTCTCTTTTTCCAGCTAAATCTGGGTTACTTCCCTTTTAAATCCTTCCAGCCATCTGCTGTCTCTTTCACAACCAGCACTCTCTCCCCTCTCCCTTCCCACCTGCTGCTCTCTTTGTTTTTGTTTTCATCTGGGTCTCTCTCTCCCCTATTTGGGTAGCACCGCCCCTTTTCTCCTGGGACTCCATGCTAAGGAAAGTTTTCTGCTTTCCTTCACTCCCCCGAAGTTCTGTGATGGGGCAGACTTGGTGCCCTGTCACAGCCTGCATTGTTATTTTCACTTTTACAATATATTTTAAAGGCCTTTGAACTCAAAGGGATGCCAATCTGACACCCTCTTCTTTGCTCATTTTCTTATATACAGCTGCTGACCGTGTTCTGTCACTGAATCTTCAATTGTGCAAAACTGCCAACCCCAGCATGTCAAAAATCAAGGGACAAACTCTTAAAAATCAAGAGATTTGGTATGTAAATTATGAGATGCTCCTTTTTAAATCCCCCTCCTCCCAGCTGCTCAAGCATGCACCCTGAGCAGCCCCCCTCCTCCCAGTTCTGGCCCTGGGCTTGATGCTGACCTGGTGGGGCTCCATGCACTCCACCATGGCTGGGCCCTACCCAGGCTCTGCTCTCACCCAGGCTCCTGGGAACTTTGCGGCTGGTTCTGACCAGAAGAAAAAATCCTGAGATTTGAGAGCTTTATCATGAGATCATGAGTCAGACTTAATTTTACTTAGAAATCACGACTCTCATGATAAGTTCATGAGAGTTAGCATACTGTTGCTGGTTTGAAGCTGTGCACACTGATATCAGTCATCAAATAGCTGTCCCTGCACACAAGCACTGAACAAGAGGGTGAGAACAGTCTTGAAAGATATTTACATGGCTGTCTTTTTATCAAAAGTTAGGAGAAGGATTAAGAGGCCTACAGGGTTACCCTGGAAAAGCAGGACCTCCAGGATTAAAAGGACACCAAGAAACAAAATGTGAGAAAGAGCAAAAATGGGAAAATGCAAGTAAGAAACCAAGTCTCTCATGCTCCTGTTTTCTGGTCTATACCTGTTTTCATATATTGTATGAGGAAATACTGGGAGGGGCTTGTGGTAATTTTCAGTACTCTTGTTTCATTGTTCTGAGGAGACTGTGGAGAGCAAGAATGATAATAAACCTAAGGCTCTCTGTTGTATTGTAGAACTGCAGAAAAACAAAGTGGCAGTTAGAATATAACTGATATTTTGCCTTTTGTTGTTTTTCTTAACATTTTTGCTTTACTTTTGAGCCCGCTGGCCCATTTTTTCTTTACTTCTGTGAAGTGTGTCCCCCTGGCATATTAATTGATGCATAGTACATCCATACCATATACACAGGATAGATCCAGAATGGACCAGGGTGGTGGTCCTAAAGGATTCAAAACCCAGAGAGTTACTATAGGCAAGGATATAATCCTAGTTCTGCAATATTTTTTATTTGGTAGAAATGCACTTAAAATACCTTCCAACTGAAATCCCCAAAGTCTAGGAATTTCTCATACAGTGATGAATGTTTTGTTGGGGACAGTAAAGTTGATCTGGTGTTCACTGACAGATAGGGCATGCTTAGCAATGATAGAATTATTGTGGACATGGTGGTATCCATTTGAAAATGATCTGAATTACAGAGATCTTTAAATTACACGGTCAGTAGGGCTGTGCAGAGCTGCAGTCCCTGATTTGATCTGGTAGAAATTCGGCCTGATTCAGTGGCTGAATCTCTGAATCTGAATTGAATCAGAGGACTCTTTAATCTCTCCGAATTGAATTGGAACCCTCCGAATCAATTTGGAGAGATTCAGAAAGATTTAGAGATTTGGACATAGACACAGTGTGCCCATCTCCGTTTGATAACACAATCCCGTGCTGCCTTTGCCCGGGCAACTGGGCTTACCAGCCTGGGACTCTCATGTAGACCCCAGAGGACTCCTCAATGACTCTCAGGGTGGCCCCCAAACTCGCTTGCCATGACTTCGGATGGTTCTTCAGTGGAGGGGGTCCCCTCGGAGGATGCCTCCAGAGTTGTCATGGGTCCCGGCAGATGCCTCTGAGGCTCCAACCTCCCCTACACCCCGGCCATGCACCACCCAATGAGACGGGCCTCAGGATCTTTTCGACTGGCCCCTTTGGATGTCTTCCCCGGTTCCCTCATCCTGCTTTGCAGGCCGGTGCCTTGGACTCTAGCCAAAGCCGGAGGGCCTGGTGATGCTTGTTCTTCGACACTATCCCTCTCGATGCCCCACGCGTTCCACAGTGGACATTGTTAGTTGTCGCCGCATTCTCGCATGGTCTCCCGTCTCTGAGTGGTGTCTCTAATCCCCCCGTGCCTAGTATAGTGTGCCAAGCTCCCTGCTCTAGACCAGGACCGAACTAAAATCTAACTACGAAAGGAAAGCATGAGCTAATCGCTCACCCCCAGAGAAGCCTTACACCACGGGAGCCCCGGTGTAACAAAAACCAAAAGAAACTATGACAAAAAGGAACACGACAAGCGAGAGACAAAAGAAAAAGCAAAGTAAAGAGAGGCACCGACGAGGGGGGAGCCCTGTGCCCCCTTCACTCCTAGGCTGGCGCATCCCTTGGGCTGGGGTTCATGCCTTCGCCCTGGCTGGGGTCTCTCTGATCCCCTCTGGGATCTGCCTCTTTCCTAAACTGTGGCACCTGCCATTGCCCTGCCAGCTTGCCTGATCCCCGTTGGTCTTTCCCGGCATGGGGATTTCCCCCAATGCCTACGGGTGATGCTGATGCTGGCTTCGCTACCAGCTCCTTTGATCTTCACCGGTCTTCCCCGGCATGAAGATCCTCCACGGCTCCCTCTTCCGCCACTGCTGCCGACCTCCCTGCCGGCTCATTTGATCTTCGCCAGTCTTCCCCAGCATGAAGATCCTCCACGGCTCTTTCTGCTGCCACCACAGCTGTTGGAGGCGGAGGCTGGGCGTGCCCCACACAGCAGTTCCCCACCACTCCTCCTACCCTCCCCATGCCCCCGCTTGCATTTACGGGGCCAGTTTTTATCTTTGCCAGGTGATGTCTCTTCCTGATGTCACCCGGCTCCAGCTGGAGATAAGCGCAGCTGATAAACCGCGTGGGCGGTTTTCTCTGGTGCGCCTCCTCACTACCCTGGACTCCTGCAGCAGGTAGGTTTTTTTCTATTCTTACTTCCCCCTGGGGTCTGCCTCTGATTGAGGCTTCCCCTTTGGTCAGCCCTGCATCCCTGGGACACACAGCTTTACATTTTTTTCTACATACCTCTAAGTAGCTGGGGCTCATGAATGCTGCAATGCTGGGGTGCATGGAGTGTCCCACAGAAGCATGGGGGACTCCCCAGCATGCTCAGCAGCAGACCCAGAAGTGGACCAGAAGCAGTTCAGGTCCACTTCCAGGTCAACCGGGGAGCATGCTGGGGGGCCCTAATGCTCTCCCAGCTCAGTGACTGGTGCCTCCTGGATCTGGGGGGGCACCTGGGGTCCCCCCATGGCTGATCGCCCCACTGGGGAGGTGTGGGGGCTCCCCCACTGCACTCCCTGGCAGACCCAGAAGTGGACTGTAAGTATTTCCAGTCCACTTCCAGGTTCACCACTGAGCAGGCATCAAAAGCCACACCTGCTACTTCAAGGTATGTAGAAAAAACTTTTAAAGCTGTGTCTATATCCAAATCACTGATTCTCTGAATCAGCATCGAATCTTCAGATTCAGATTTAGATTTGTATCCAAATTGAATCAGGGACAGTGATCCAAATCAACAAATCAAATCACTGTCCCTGATTTGGGCCAAAGCTGAATTGAATAGGGCCCACTTCGCACACCTGTAATAGTCAGTTAAACAAGTTATGGTACACTGTCATTTTCTAACAACTTTAGGGACTGGCATCCCCTGCTTTACAGGTCACATAGTAGCTCACTGCATTGCAGCAGGGCCAGCCAAAACCAGTGGTTGTATGATAATTTGAAAATGATTTATTAGATAAATCCTCAACTATTTTTCTTAGCATCTGTTGCTCTTCAGAGGAAAGTAATTGATTTGGAGAACTATATCCATGCTCTTGAAGTTGACCTTAACCAGCACAGAACTGGTGATATAACACGATTGCATTTTTTCTAGGGGGAGTAAATGCTGAAAATGCTAGCCTAGGTTGAAATAAATACTGTGCCGTCTTCTGCACAGTACAGCACATGTGCCTCTTAGGAAATCATTTTTCATTCTAGCCTGCCTCAACTGCATAGAATCTTCATAGTTCTTTGCAGTACTCCCTTGGGCCTAACTCTTTAATTTATTTATTTATAAGGAGGATCAAGATTCACTAATGCTAATGTGCATAGCCTAACTCTGTTGAATCAGAGAGCCTCTCAGGAAGGTACACACATAGACACAACTTCCTCTGTGAGAAGCATGAATACCTAATAGGAGGCTGTTCAGGACTATTTCTAGCAATGGAACCTTAAAGACAGCCACCCCATTTTCTTCTCCAAAGGAGCGGAGATCTATGGGGAGATAACCTAGGGCTTGATTTCCCCAGAGTAGCAGAGACATTGAAGGAAATGCCATTCTGATTCATTCAACCTTTATTTTTTTTTAAATCCCTATTTAGATTATTATGTTTTGTGTTATATAATATCCATGGGATTTTATGAAACAGGCACACTTGTATAATGCTAGGGTAGGTCTTCAGCAGGCTTCAGCTCTATGCATGATGTAGTCATTCAAGTTGGTGGGAAAATAGGGGGAAGAATCAAAAAAGTTTTGCCAAATTTCTTTTCTTTGTTAAGAAAGAAAAAAAATGACTAGCTCTTTGAGGCCTGAGCAGAGCTAGGATTCCATGTAACTGGGACAGTAAGGGGGAAACAAATGCTTTAAAATGCTTGTAAGTAGGAACCTACCTAACTCGTGGTGCGAGAAGGCGATTTTCTCAGCTTGGTCATGGCCCAAAGAGCCAGTTTTGTGGTCATTTTGTGGTGGGCCACATCCTTCAGTGCTGATTGGTGGAGAATCCCCAGGGGGAGGAGGGACAAGGGAGCAGCTATTACCTTGACTGATGACTGCCCTTCATGTGGCCCCACCCCTTGGTGCTGATTGGTGGAGAGATACATGGGGGCAGCTGTCACCATGGCTGCTGCCCTTAATGCTGCCCTGCCAGCCAGCACCTTCCCCCCCAGGTAGGTTGCAAGACCGGACCACAGTGGCAGCAAGGACAACTGGCTGCCACTGGGATGCCAGCATTTTATTTCTATTATTTTTTTTTTTTTTT